GCACGTCAATCACGTTGGGGGCGTGGCCCTGATCGTCGGAGGGAAAACTCTATGGTTTTCCCTCCGACGATCGGGGCCACGCCTTCAACATGATCAATGTTGCGCGTCACTTCCAGTGACGTGCTGGCGGTGCGCGCATCGAAGAACGGCTCCCGGAGCCTGGCGAGGCTCCCCCGCTGGTAAGAAGATTTGACTTGGCAACCCTATTTGCTGCCCCCGGATGACCTTCCCACAGTGAGGGAGCCAGGGTGAAGGCAGGCGCTTCTCCTGGTTTGTCTAGCATCAGGAGACCAGCATTCCCTCCCACTTGAACCAGTATCAGTTTCCCAATAGGCAGTCTTGGATTCTGCTGCCCCTGCTTGGTAGAAACCTTTTCTTGACCGTCCTCCCAAGGCCCTACTCTGGGTGCCCCTGCCTTCTGAGGTTAGATGGGCGGCCTTCTCAGTTGTGGCACCAAAATTCTGGAATTCCCTCCCCAGGCAGACTCATTTGTCCCCTTCTTTGTTATCACCCACCAGCATTTGACATTCCCTCAGTGATCCGTCCTGCCTGCCCCGTAATTTTAATTGCTGTTTTATGTTTTTGTATGGGTTTTTAAAGACGTAATTTTATTATGTGCTTTTAATTTGTAAGCCACCTTGGAGGTCCTTATGAGGGCAGAAAGACAGGGTATAATTTTTTAAAAGCTAGTGTTGCTGCAACTGAACCTTCGCTAGCTAGAGGAAGAGGAGGAGAGCAAAACTAGTCCTGGGCAAGTTGTGGTGGAGGGCAACATGGCGGGTGCTGAGGCTCTGGCTGCATTCTGGCTTCACAGCATTGCATGCCAGGGCAAGGTGACTGGAGCCATGCAGTGAAGCAAAGCACCTTGCATGGGCCTTTGGGGAAGGAAGAAGTCAGGAGATGAGGCGGGCAGCCACTAGGGTTGCCAGGTCTACTTACCCGGCTGGCGGGGGGTGGGAGGGAGCCTTCCAGGAGTGGAGAGGGCGGGATGACGTCGCTGCATGCAACGTCGTCGGTGTGATGACACCACACGGAAGTGACATCATCACACCGGCTATATCACATGGCAGTGCTCTAGCATTTTGGTCAAAACTCTACGCGACATGCCTGGTGTGATGATGTCAGTTCTGTGTGATGTCATCACGCTGACGACATCGACATGGGAGGGGGCTGTTCGGTGGTGGGGCTTCCCCTGCTGGCCAGCTGGTTGGTGGTGGATTGGAGCCCCAAAAATCAGAGGAACTCCCACCTTGAACAGGGGTCTGGCAACTCTAGCGGCCAGTGCTGCCCTCTTCTTGCAACCCAGCAGTACCCATCATTTCCCTAACCCCTAATTGTGATGTCTCATCGTTGCTGGTTATTGTTGATGGCCAGCAGGCCCATCCTGCAGGAAAAGCTTTGGGTAACTTGGCAACTGGCATTCTCTGTGGATGCCCAACAATAAAGCTCTTACTGTATATTTTCATAGAATCACAGAGTTGGAAGGGTTCTCCAGGGTCATCTAGTCCATCCCCCTGCACAATACTGGAAATTCACAACTACCTCCCCCTCCCACGCCCCCAGTGACCCCTGCTCCATGCCCAGAAGATTTTGTTTTCTTCTGCCACCATTTACCGTTAAAGGGGGAAAGTATCCTTTTACTATACTTTCTTTTTTAGAACTCATTACCGTGTTCAATACTTGTTTGAGCTGCTTATCTTGCAATAAGTTGTATGTTAATCCTACTTTGCCTGTCTAGCAATAGACATCAGTAGCCCTCATTCACTCTTTTTATTAGATCTTGTTTTAAACTGCCCTATCCTTCCTTTCCTTTAATCTGACTAAACTGCCCTATCTTCATAACCCCACCTTCTCTTGTGAATTTAAAAGCATCAGCATAATGGATGTACACTTACAGGCATCTGAGGAAGAGAGTTCTGACTGATGAAAGCGTATGCAGGAATAAAATTTGTGTCTTTAACGTGCCAGTGGACTCCTATTTTGCCGCTACATACAAACACAGTTATCCAACTGGCATCAGCACATTCAGTAGTTAGTGATAAGGAAGCTGAAATGACTGCTTCAGGCAAATAAGTCCCCCCCTCCCCCCGAGAACCTTGCAAGTATGCAAGTAAAAAGAAAAGAAAAAGCACTAAAGCGTCACACTGTGAAAAAGTTAACTGCTGCATAGCGATTATAAAACTAAACCAAATTGGCAAGGTAGTAACCAAATTTTCCCCTTTGGATATATTTGACACCAATGGGAACTCTAACTAAAAAAATCCCACATCTTTGAAATATTTGGGGTTTGTTTTAATAAATGTCTCTTATTGTTCAGTTGTATATGTCTGAATATTTGCCAGTTGCCCCTGGGGAAAGTTCTTGCCTAAACACATGGGCTTTATAGATCTTCCACTCTCCAGGAATAAATTTTATACAGTGCCAGTTTAGCTCTTTCTGTGCCTACATTTTGTATACCATTGGTATATCCTGACCATAATACATTTATGAGCTTATGGGGGGAAGCTTACCTGCTTCTTCCTCCTCCGCTTGCTCTGTGTGGAGCTCCCCCGCTCCTCCCCCCGCAATTTTCGTGGGTCCCCTTTCTTGTTGGATATAATTGCACAGTACTACTTTCAGCTAAAGAGTAAATGAAAAGTCTTAAATTACCAGGAAAACTCATACTTAGTGTTACCCCTGAGGGGGGGACTTACTGTCAGCAGAGGCCCTTGCTGGTGAAGTAACGATGTTGCCAGTGACCTGCCGGCATCACTCTCTGTATGCCAGGAAGTGACATCGGTGGGAAATCGGGGTCACTCTGGCATTTGGGCAAGACTCTATTGCCAAAGTGCCAGAGTGTCTCCAAATGATGCACTGAGGTCACTTTGGGGGCATATGGGGAGTGATGTCAGCACATCAGGATGCTGGTGATGTTCCCCCTGTCTCCTACCATTTCCCCCCACCAGCTCGCTGAATGGCAGCGAAGGATTCCTTGCCTGCAGCAGGGGAACGGACAGCATAATTCCCCTTGACTCTCTTAATGTAATTTCTTTAGAAGAGATCCTTGTATTTAATAGAGCCATGCTAGGAAACAGGAAATTATATATAATTTAAGTAAGCATATCTGATGGCCTTGGGCTGTACAATCTTAAGCAAAGTTACACCCTTCTGAGACCATTGAAGTCAGCTTAGAAGGAAGTAGCTCTGCTTAGGACCGTGCGGAAAGTGGTGGGATTTTGTATTACTAGCCTCCCTTAATGTTTTGATTTTTCAAAAAACGATTTTAACGGTTCCTGTAGCTGAAGTGGCCGAGATGATCTGGAAATCCCTGGTTCAGATTTCACCTCCGCTAAGAACTCCTTCTGGCCTTAGGAAAGCCACTTTCAGCTGGAGCTCCATCCCTTTGTAGTAGGGGGAGAACAACACTAGACTCCCTCACAAGGCTTTTGTAAAATTTACTGAAATAATTCGAGTCCTGATCTGCAGAGCCCCCTAGCATATACTAACCCCAGGGCTTCTCCCAAGTGCGCCATTGACCTCTTTTGGAATGAAAGGGTCAGCTGCTCTTTTCTGCTGTCTCTGGTCACTCTTCATGTGGGCAGCAGCTGTGTGATATCAGGGAGCCACGGCCACATCACTGGGCAGCTGCATCCATGTGTGCTAATTACATACTGCTACTCCACACCTACTACTACTAATGGAGAGATAAATTCAGCCTTTTGATCTGAAAATCTGGGGCAGTCAAAAAGAATATGATCCACAGAATCAATTCTGTTGTTGCCATCATTGCGGAATCTATCTGAATATGGAGTTCCATTGAATCTTTGTAACATAACCGCTGAAGGTAGGGCATTCAAGCGTGCAAGCATGAATGCCCTTCTATACTTTGGAAGAGCTAGCTCAGATAGATAATTTGGCATTTTTGTTGGCAGGAGAAGGCCTACTGAGAAAGATGAACAAACTCTGTGAGCTCTAATCAACATACTCTCATAATCAAAGTCTCGCAGACATCTTCTAATGAGCTGGGTCCATTCTTGTCTATTCATTGTTTCTGGCACATCATGGGCAATGCCCAAATGTGATAATTTATGATCCAGTAATCTGTCCCAATCACTTGTGTGATGGTCCAACATGACTAGTCTGAGGAAGCTAGATTCTGGATTTGATTTTAGGATCCTAATTTTCAGATTGAATGCTCTGCCCCAGGCGTTTGCTTCAAAGGACATCTCCCCAACTTCAGCTTTCACAGCTATTCCAGACACACATTGAGGGATTCCCAAAACATTATACAGGAATCTTTATAGTGGTATATTGATGTTGTCTGTTGCTGCTCTGATCCAGATCCCAACAACATATAACATCTGCCTGTAGACTTCCGCATTAAATACTTGGCACGTCACCAGCATCAGGGTCTTATGATGGAACTACCTCATTTCTCTATTTCTTTTTTCTTCAACCTGACAAGATTCTTTAGTGCTAGGACCTACACTTCTTTGATGCATGAATTCTGGCACCTTTTTACTGTTCATGCTATTGAGGTCTATAAAAATTAACTCTGCTTATTATGTATCCCTTATTTATAATTCTTACTTATTTGAGGGCACTTGCTGTTTTCTGTTGAGGTATCTTTGCATGACACAAAACATGGGAGGGGGGAAGACTGATTTTTATGTCATGTAAAAGTGGTAAACACACTGGAGCCAAGTATCTACATGTTCCCCTTAGCCACCTAATCCACCTGCTTCGCACTGTTTTTGCCATCTTGTTCTGAGTTTTGATGTCCCTTCTCCTAAAATGTACATCAAAGGCCACACTTTTAATTGGATCAAGGACTAGAGTCTGAGAGTCTTGCTGTAACCAGCAAAGCATTCGTGTTTGAGGTAATTGCTTTCTTTACACCTTTACTTGGGAGTACCGAAGGAATATACAAAAAGGCGAGAGAGACAAGTTCTGTTCCTGAAGTGCTTGCTCGTATTAACTGTATGGAGTTAATTTCTTATTTGCTTTTATATATTGTGTAGGGACCAAGTCGAAGCTTACTGCTCAATGGGAAATCATACCCAACAAAAGTCCGGTTAATCCGTGGTGGCACCTTGCCTCCAGTGAAAAGGAGGAGGATGAACTGGATTGACGCTCCTGATGATGTTTTCTACATGGCCACAGAGGAAACCAGGTAGGCCAGATCAGTAATCTTTGATAAAGGAGAGTTCTGTGATATTTGGCTTTCTCTATGAATGTAAGATCAGTCAAATGAGGCTCTGAATGGATTAGTCGACAGCACTGATTCAATGTTCCCTCTAAGCTGCAGAGTCTTGTGAGCCAAAATTCTACTCTGTGAGCCAAAAGACCTAATAAGTTGTGAGCAAGCCTACATATTTTAAGAAAGAAAGAAAGAACAAAAATAGATGTGGAGAGAGGAAGGAAGGAAGGAAGAGAAAGAAAGAAAGAAAGAAGGGGAGAGGTGGAAAGAAAGCAAATAGATGGGGAGAGAGGAGAGAAAGGAAGAAAACCCCCCATCAGCTGCTCACTTTAAAGGGCAGGCAGCCATTAGAGTGCTCTGTTTGCCCCCCCCACTTTCTAGTGGGGGGGAGAGCCAAGGGGAGTTATGAAATGGCTTCCCACCCTTTAAACAGGGTTGCCAAGTCTTACCTACTTAAAAGCGGGGGACCTGGGCCCTCTCTGATACTTCTCTCTCACGTGCAAAGCACGCGTGCACCGCAATGACATCATCTGGAAGTGACATCATCACGTTGGGGGCGGGCCCACTACCATTCGAGGGGAAACCATAGAGTTTTCCCTCAAATGCTAGAGCGTCCCTCCCCCGCAACGTGCCTGGCATGATGACATCACTTCCAGGTGACGTCATCACGCTGGGCACGTCTCTGTGTGCCCGGCACTTTGGGGATGGAGTTCCCTCCGGAAGCCTGATCTGGGCCGGCAGGTAAGGGACCGATCGAGCGGGGGTTCTTCCGCCCCTCCCGGGGGACCTGGCAACCCTACCTTTAAAGCAGGGGTGTCAAACATACAGCCCACAGGCCAGAACTGACCTCTCCAGGGCTCTTATCCAGCCCGCAAGCAACTGGTGCTGTTCTCAGCCCATGAGAGAAGAAAGGTCATGAGAGAATTAAAAACAACAACACCCTGGAGGTTTTGGAAACAGCCTTTCTGTCAGGCCTTCCCCTCAGACCCACCACTTCTATGGAAAATGCAGGAGGGATGAGAACCGGGGGGAGCCGGGGGGGGGGGGGATCTGCGAGAGTCAGGCTTATGTGGATTCCCCAGTAAATTAATTGCTTTCACTGCTAGGAATCACTTTTCTTTGTATTTTGAGTAAAAGTTAATACCGTTAGTTGAGTTTGCCTGTGCCCTTTATAAAGTTTATATCTCCAGTACCCAACATTACATTTTTATGGCACACATGGCCTGGCCCAACAAAGTGATATTTTATGTCAGATCCAGCCCTCATAACAAATGAGTTTGACACCTCTGCTTTAAAGCAAGCAGCGCAGTGGGTCTTGCTCATCGGCTTGCTCATTTTAAAGGGCATTCACAAAAATAAAGGGACACAGTATAGAAAGTAGAAACCACAAGATGAATACTGTGTATAAGTTGTTCACCTCAATTCATATACAATACAATAATACACAGCAATCTTAACCATAATGCCTATAACTGACAGTGTTCCCTCTAAGCTGAGTTAGTGTGCGCTGGCTCACAGTTTTTTTAGCCTCCGGCTCACACATTTTTGTCTTAGCTCTTGAAGGATGGCTCTAGAGCAAACTAATTTACGCAACGGCCAAATCACTCGCTCACAACTTTAATGCCAGTAGCTCACAAAGTAGAATCTTTGCTCAAAAGACTCCACATCTTAGAGGGAACATTGCTCTTTAGTGTAAAAATTGAATGTTATTGTATACAAGTGGTTGGCCATTCCTGATTTCCTCAACTGTTGTTAGCTCTCTGCAGTCTCCTGTAACTGTTTTTACCTCAGAACACTTAGCTCTACAGCTGACCAATCAGAGAGTGGGGTGTGCAAGGAGGCAGCAGCCTGGCAGCCACATAGGAAGCAATGGGGAGAGCACATTTTACCCCTTTTGACCCCCTTAGGGGTCGAATTTCTAAAAATCCCTTCTTAGTGAGCATCTACATCATGGTAGGAGTGCTCTCCCTAATTTCGTACTTCTAGGGGTTTGGCCTGGGTATTTTTACGGTGATGGAACTTTCTTTTATATATATATAGATGGAATTGAGGTGAACAACTTATACACAGTATTCATTTTGTAGTTTTCACTTTAAAGGGCAGCCATTTGGCTCCCCCCCCTGCTTCCAAGTCTAGTCATCCATATTGAAGGAAGTGTTAAGCTTTACTAGCTACAATAATGTTTTATGAGAAATGGATTCTGATATGAGTGCCTTCTGAATTGTTTGAATCTTTCTGTGCAACTTGAAGCAGTTCGTCGAAATGCACAATTTACCTAGGAGACACATAGTCTGTGCAGGATTCAGATTGCAAAAGAAACCACTCCATTGAATACAAGAACTCGTGGGCACTCCATGAAATTGCTGAGCGGTCGGGTTAGAACAGATAAAAGGAAGTACTTCTTCACCCAAAGAGTGATTAACACATGGAATTCACTGCCACAGGAGGTGGCGGCGGCGACAAGCATGGACAGCTTCAAGAGGGAACTGGATAAACATATGGACTGGAGCAGAGGTCCATCAGCGGCTGTTAGCCACAAGGTATAGATAGGAACTCACAGGCTGGGGCAGGTGATGTACTGTATTCTTGGTGCTTGGGGGGGGCAACAGTGGGAGAGCTTCTAGTGTCCTGGCCCCACTGATGGACCTCCTGATGGCACCTGGCTTTTTTGGCCACTGTGTGACAGAGTGTTAGACTAGATGGGCCATTGGCCTGATCCGACATTGGCTTCTCTTATGTTCTTATGCTATAGATGATTTCATTCTTATGTTGACATTTGTATAATTTTTGAGAGTGGGTTTCTAGTTTGTATATTTATGCAACATTTGTTGTGGGATTTGAACTGTTTTGGAACTGTTTCTTTAATGTGTATTGTAAAGGACATGTTGCTTGAAACTGTCCCTTTAAACTATATTGCATCTGCAAAAGTTATTGTGCAGTTGTGAATTGTATGTTGTGAATAGCAGAAGTTATTGCCGTGTCTGTGATTGTAAGAATTTTTAAACATGAGACCATTGCTCCCTCTAAGCTGTGGAGTCTTGTAAGCAAAAATTCTATGGTGTGCGCTACTGGCATTAAAGTTGTGAGCAAGCGATTTGGCTGCTGCATAAATCAGTTTGCTTTGGAGCCATCCTCCCTGAGCTAAGAGAAACATGTGTGAGTCAGAGGCTCAAAAACTGTGAGCTAGCTCACACTAACTCAGCTTAGAGGGACCACTGCATGAAACTATAATAGTTACCCTGAAATTGCTTAGATACTTCATTGTTTATCTGATTATATAATTTATAAACATTACACAAAAGAAAAGAAAAGAAAAAAATAATTCTGGATGTATTGCAGTTAAGTGCTTGTAACTGCTATACACTCGGTGTTTCTTTGCCTTTACCTCTGTGGAGTTCCAGCATGGATCAAGGCCTGTAGAGGAAGGGATACTAAATTCCCTTTTTTCACTATTTTTGTAGAAGATCATTTAAGTTGTGTGGCTAATGTCTCTTTAAGGGCAGAATTAGGCTCACAGTCTCTGGAACCACAGGCATGGGTAAGGGCCTTCAGGCTTTGGTTGAAAAGCCTATTTTCCACAGAAGCTAATGAGTGCCTCTGTCTATTAAAATCTGATTCCTGTGCTAGCCCGTGGAGGAAATTAATGGAGACTAGACTCCAGCTGCTGGGTTTTAGCAGTAGTGATTTGGAGAGACTGGGGAAAACAGCAGCATGCTCTGTGGTGAACAAACATTTGTATAACTCAAGACTTCATCAACACCCATAGGGTATGCTCCTCTTTATACATGGGGTTGTTGTCTTACCTAAAGGCAACCTTACCATATTTAGATTTTTAAACTGTTCCTTGATACAGGAGAACATTTATGCTTGCAAGATTAAGCTCCATCCCTTCTCAAGTAATGCAAAGTCAACTGCAAAGGACTACATATTCATATAGACTTTGTAATTGTGCTTTGGGACAGAAGGAAACTCTGGAGCATCGCTTCCTAGAATGTGGTACTTTATGCAATGTTAGGGATTTGGGGACTACTCCTCCTTTCTGCGATTATGAGGATCTGTCAACACCAGATGAGGTTAAGAAATTCTTGGCAGGCACGGATTTAGGAGTTACATTGGCTGTAGCCAGATTTTTTTTGCATATGTAATTAAAATTAAAGGACCTCAAGTGCAGTAACTGGTTGGCTATTTAAATTATCTAATTTTGTTGTAAATAGTATGACATTGCTCAAGTCCTGTAGGCTAAATGAGCAGTATCATTAAAGTAAGTACTACAGCACTGATGGAAAAGTAGACGTAGGCTGTGGTCACACGGAGCATTAGCCACGCTACAGAGAC